GCTAAACCCGGCCCAAATACCCAGCCCGTTCCACCCGCCGAGCAGAAACTACCATCTCCTTTTTTTAACTTTTTTATTTTATTTTTTAATGTGATTTACCTATTTTATCCTATCTTTTTAATGATACTACATGAAAAAACCTTAACTTTATACTTAAATTAAATTAAAAACCCTAATAAGCAAGGACTATTATGTAAAAACAACATGGGAAAAGCAAAATTAGAAAGCAAAACAGAAGCAGAAGTGCAGAACTGCAATCGGCTATCAACATCCCTCTCCCTCATCCCTGCTCCATCTCTGTGAGTCCATTGGCATCTCCATCGCCAAACAGAAGCAGCAAAGCACTTAATCTCCCTGCTTCACTTTCGTCGGCATCTCATTCACCAGTCGTCCATCAGCCTCATCTCCTTCGCTGAACTGAACATCAGCAACAGAGTATTAACCTCCCTGCATCTCCACCGGCAGCTCAGCACCTCTCCTCCGTGGGCAGCATTCTGACAAAGCTCACAGCCTCACGCCTCTGTCACTCATCTTCCACTCCTTTACCGGCCCAAACAAAAGCAGCAAAGCATAACAGATTGTCCCCTGATTTTGCTCACATCGCCACCTGATTTTGCTCACACCACAACCACTCATCTTCCTCTCCTTTACCAAACCAAAAAAAAAGCAGTAAAGGAAACTGTTTGGGCAGCTTCGCAATCCAACACTGTTGAAGTCCTCAGCTGCTTCTACACCTGAAAATCTCGAGGCTGTTTCCTCGGGGAAAACACTCCAACGCTCAAGTCAGCAATACTCAGTATTCTAGAGAGAGATGCTCTCAAGGAGTAATTGCAGAGAGAGAAGCGTAGAGATTAATTACCTTCTTCGGAGGTAGTTGGGGGGGTATTTATAACCCCAAGTGCTGACATGTATCTGCACATGTAAGCCTCTCATTGGCCCACGTGGGTATGTCTCCTCCTCCTCTTGGGTCTGTGGGTGCGTAGTTGGGCCTGCTGCATGTGGCCCTAAGAGAGCGTTGGGCCTAACCCCAACATTACTCCCCCCTCGGTGTTCGGTTGACGAACTGGGTTGGGAGTCTTGTTAGCACGGTGTTTGATCCTGAGGATGAGGAGTGATGTTTTACATTCATGTCCGCCCTCACGCACGACCGATTTAGGCGGCCTGAAGCCATCGCGGCCAAGTCTGTTGTGCATGTATATGCCAACTTCCTATCAAGCAGGCGTGGGGGAGCTGGTGCTAGAACCAAGCGAGCTCGATGCATGTGTTTTGGGCCATAGCCAGGAAACTAAGGTGACGACCTAGAAGCAGGAAGCTCGGTAGTGACGCTTTATGTTTATGGATGACCTGACACATGGCCAACCTGAGCGGCTTGAGGGCGTCCTGCCTGGCCGAATGTACGAGTGTATGTCGGCTTTTTGCCGAGCAGGCGTGCGGAATTGATGTCAACGCTAGTCGGGCTAGAAGTCGACCAGCGGGTTGGGCCGATGTGCAGGGGTGACCTTACATAATGAATTCCCTACGACAGGGCGGGGACGAGCAGATAGCGGACGAGCCGAACGCTCCGCCCCTAGATGGGCAGAGAGTAGCGACCACACTCTTCGCTTCAACATAGATCTCTGGGATACAGGGGTGCTCTAAGGAAGTTGGTTACAGCTTAGCCACTGAGGTAAATTCATGATTGGTGCGACCTGACGTCCAGGGGTTTTCGAATTTAGGGTCTCTTAAGAGACCCCTGATTAATAACGGGCTGACTTCTCGAGACTTTCAATATCTGAGGAGATCGCGGATTTATTACGAGCTGGTCCGTTGGACTTTTCAAAATTTGAACCGTGGCAAGTCTCTGAGGAGATTTGCCTGAGTCTCAAATTTGTAACGAGCTGATTAAGCTGATTTCTCGAGATTTTCAAGATCTGTGAGGAGATTGCGGATTTGTAACGATCTGATCCCTTGAAATTTGTAGCGAGCTGATCATTGACGTTTGTCGCGATCTGATCCTTCATATTTTTCAACGACTGGCGTGAATCTCTGAGGAGATTTGCTCAGGCGTTTGGTATTCTTCTGCTTTTAACAGATACCCATTTGCCTTCCCGCAATAAATGTTGGCTCGGCATTTGAGGGGACGTGATGGCTGCAAGCGGCGCATTTTGGGTTTTTAACCATAAATGGTTGCCACGTGGACATGCTTTACTGGGGGGCGTAAACACGTGTACGGTGCTTACGGAGCACCATCTGAACGGCCAAAACAAACAAACAATTTGTCATTTCTTTTCATTTCATTGCCAAGCACCATCAACATTCGTACGTTTTTCAGAGGATATTGTAGAGACCTTCACGGCCATTTTTCCAAACTTGCAGCGAAAGCACTTTAGCCTTCAACTACTCAGGTAAAAATGGCTTCTTTTCACGATGCACAAGGATTCCGGGGTAACCAAGGTGAAGAGGAAGATGTTGACATGGTATCCGTGGAGCCTATCGCGATGATAGTGCCGTCGGAGTTGCAGGATTCGCCCAGAACTACCGCGCCGGAGAGTAGCGCCAGTTCAAGCGTGGGCGGTGGTCCTGAGAGCCACCAGCCTTCAACTTCCAATGATTCGCCCACGGAAGAGATACCTAGTGAGGCGGAGGGCGTGGAGGAGGTTGGTTGCAGCGCACCGACGACAAGTGCAGCAGCGGAGGTGGTAGTGTTCGAAGGGTGGGAGAGTAAAGTTCTCAGTGGAAGGCTGGACAACCTTCGCAAGGCTCCCAAAACCCTGCCGGCCGGCTTCAAATTCAGGGCGGTGCTTCACCACGAGGTCGCAGATGGCGCAGCCACGGTGAAGGGGTATAAGAAGCTAGAGGAGATGGTGAGGAGATTCCAGATCCCCAGGACCATCCTGATCCGAGCTGGGACACCAAATGAACGGGCGTGTTCAGTGTCACGGACGGGCTGGGTGCCACTATACGTAGACCATTTTGACGCCGGTCTACGTTTTCCTTTGCCCGGACTAATTTTTGATGTCCTGGCAGAGTACGAGCTGGCCCTTTCGCAACTTACTCCCAACAACATAAAGTTCATCGTGGGCTTTATGTTGTTGTGTGAAAGGCTGGGGATACCTGCGAAGGCGGTGGTCTTCAGGTCGCTTTTCCTCTGCCGTTTGTGCCCATCCAGAAGTGGGACGAGGTGGTATTACGTTTCGGGCAGGGAGAAGATGCTGATCTTCACTAACATCAGAAACAAGGTAGCAAGGTGGAAAAGACAGTTCGTGTTCGTGCGGGACACGCGGACTGACAGGATGAACAACGAGCTCGCGGCCCGTCTGTCAGAGTGGCGTACGCCGAACACATATATGAACTATCCCCAGCTAACCAGTGGTGATGTCGACCTGAAGAACCAGCTGCTCGACTATGTGGCGGCGAGGGGGCTGGTGGATTTAGAAACCTTGGTTACCCCGGAGCAGATCGCCATTCATGGATTTGTTGACGTGGCAAATCTACACTCTCAAGGTATATTTTTATATAATAGTATAGTTTCTAGCCGATCTGACTCTTATGCTTTTGTTTGTGCAGGAGTCATGAGCAGCATCCTTGAGCGACAACGTCAGCGAGCTCAAGGCTCAAGGGGCCGGGGCGCTGGGTCTAGTTCCCAGCGCCAATCCCGCTTTGATGAGCGGCCAACTGCTGCACCGGGGCGCAGCTCCCAGCATAAGGGTTCCAGCTCGTCACATAGGTCGCGTGACGAGCAGAGGAAGGAGCCTGCGCCTTCCCTCCCCAGAAGGCGCACGAGGGAAGAGTCTGACGCGGAGGATGACGTCCCTCTCATCCGACGGAGGACAAATGCTGGCTCGCAGCCTGCTCCAACCGTCACTGCGCGACCTGTTAGCGTGCCCCCAGCATCTGCCCGGGAGGTTACTGAGGCCTCACCGATCTCGACGTCTGTGGGGGGCCCAAGGATCGCATACCCGGACGGCTTCAGTTACGCCTGGACTGAGTGTCAGACCGCTATGCTGCAGGGTATGCAGAATTTTGTGCCCCCTGCAGACCGGCTGCGTGCAAAGGGGCACGTCCAGCAGCATGGAGGACATGCTGCGCTAATAAAGCTGATGGATGTAAGTACATTTGGCGAGCTCGGTATTATGTTTTACCTTGTTCTTACTATAAACTGACATGTGAACATGTATTGCAGGCGTTCAGCTACAATGTCGCACTCTTCGAGTGCGAGCAGGGAGCCAGGGCGCAGAACAACGACCTGCAGCACAACTGCAAGCAGCTGGCGTCTGAGAAGGCCAGCCTGGCTGACGAGGTCAACCGCCTGCAGAGCTCGGAGATGGCCAACCGAGCGGCGTCAGCTGAAAGCCGAGCTGACGAGCTGGCTCGCAAGGTCACTAAGCTGAGAGAGGAGCTCGACAGAGTTCGGGCTGAGAAGGAGAGCGGCATTCGAGCTGCTAAGGATGAGGCCCGCCGTGCTGAGGACCGCGCCAAAAAGGCAGAGGCTGACAGAGAGAGAACTCTGCATGAGCTGAGCGGCCTGAGGGAGAGGGCCTCACTGGCAGATCAGCACGTCGCCCAGGCTGAGGCGTCCTTGGAGAGGACTAAAAGATTCCACCAGCGTGACGTCTGCTTTGCCCCGGCACAGGGGGCTGAGTGGCTGGTCGGGGCAGAGATGTTCCAGGACGCCGTAGCTGTGGCTGCAGCCAACACCACCACTGACATCTTCAATGAAGTTCGTGGGAAGGTGTTGGGAGTCCGGGCAGACTTCCCCATTGGCGAGCTGGCCTTCTTCGAGGGCGAGGAGATCGATGCTGACGGGAAGAGCCTCGCCCCGCCAGTTGACACCAGGGTAAAACTGAAATGGGAGCTCAACGAGGAGGGGCTGCCCGTTTGGCCCCCTACTGTTGTTGAGGAGGGAGAGGACGCGGAGAGGTTGCCAAGCTTCGATGCTTGGGTGGCAGACCCCCCTGACGTGCGTGCTGAGCCCTCCAGCACCCCTTCTTCTGCTCCGCCTCAGCCCGTCCCGGCCGCTGTCCCAGCTCCAGCTGTTGTCTCTCCAGTTCGGTCTCCTGCTCACTCTTCCCCAGATCGGTCATCTCTAGCTCGATCTGCTGCTACGCCAAACGACGCATCCATCCCCGTCGACCTGACGGATGAGTAGTTTAGGATCTTTTGTTTTGCTTTTTGTATTTCTTTTTGCCTTTTATGTTAATCAAACACTTGTACAAGAATATTCATGAAATACAACTCCAGTATTTGTTTTTGAAATTGCTGTGTATCGCTCTTGTACTTTTGTGTAAATCGGTGAAGTCATTTGCAATATGTACTCAGTGTATGGATTTATTGATCAAATGCAAATTCAAAACTTTCCTTTGGAAATTTCTGTATTGAATTTTCCGTAAATCATCATCTACAAACGATCCATAACCACCTGAACACTATGTTAACTATAAAACTTTCTAAGGTTATGTATGTTCCAAATGAATGGTAATGGACGACCTTGTTCATCTGCTAATTGGTAACACCCAGGTCGTTTAACTGAAATAACTATATAAGGACCTTCCCAATTAAGGGCGAGCTTGCCCATGCGCGAGTGAGCGTTTGTTAGCCCTGCTTTGCGTAGGACTAGATCGCCGACCTGAAACTGGCGAGCTCGAACCCTTTTATTATAAAATTTTGCCACACGACTCTGATGCGCCATATTTCGCATTCGAGACATCTCCCTGACCTCTTCCACAAGGTCCAAGTTCTCTCTCAATAGTCGCTCGTTGTCACCATCATCGTGCCGACCTGCTCTATTAGAGGGCAATCCGATTTCCACCGGGATGACGGCTTCAGTTCCATAAGCAAGGCTGAATGGGGTTTCGCCCGTGGCCGAGCTGGGCGTGGTGCGACAAGACCAAAGCATTTTATTGAGCTCGTCAACCCAATTAGA